GGGGGGGGGTCATCTGTAAAGCACCCACCATGCTCCTAGCCTCTCACTCTCCCCTGAGTGTGTCAGCTTCCTGGGCTCTACCTGGGCTCCACTGGAAGTTCTTGTGGTAAAAAAATATTTTCTTAGTGCTTTAACACATCTGGCCCACGGGCACAAAATAGATGGGGTATGAGAGCAAGCATGCTCACAAATGTCAAAATTTTTGTGTGTACGTGTGTGTGTACAAATAGACACAGACACACATATTTATATAATCCTTAGCTCTCCCCATTCAAAGAGTCTAGAAAAGAAAACTTGAGCAGCTGCACCCAGATCTAATCTCTAATAACATCACCCTCGAAAAGGAACCAGGGCTCCTTGGAGAAATGGCTAATTCGGGTACAAGATGAGCCTGGAACATGTGGTCTAACAGAAGGTAAGAAAGGCTTCAAGAAAATGCCAGGGTCACATCCAAAGGACACAGACGCAGGGTGAAGGGCTCCCACAGGCCAAATCTCGGACAATTTGAGCACTAAAATACTTAAGAAGAATAAATAATTATACATTATGAAAAAATAAGAATCTACGAATCCATTCCAATAATAAACAGATATAAACACAATTTAAATAAAATAAACAATAAAATGCAATAATAAGCAGGGAGGAATGAATGAATAAATGCACATATGCAAGAACAGGGAGAATGCGTGCTTATAGCAAAATGCTGGCTGGTGAAGGTGGAGGGAGTACTGGAGTTGGAAAACTGTCACTTGATAGTTTTCACAGTGAGATTGGTACAGGCAAGATTCTCTAACGGAGGCTAAATCTCAGGGGGCATTTGATGAGGAGAGGGTACGAGCCTAATGTACAGTAGACAGATGGGGCAGCCCCTTCACTGAGTGACATTAACATCACCAAGCAGCAGAATGGTCCAGACGTGAAACCTTGAGAAGGACACGATGTCTCTTATGTCCTAATCTGAGTATGCACAATCTGAGTTAATCAGGAGGAAATATCAGAAAAATCCAAAATGGGGACAGGGAGCCCATGTACATCAAAAATGTCAATATTAAGGTCCGGTACGGGCGCGACACTGAGGGTTGCGATCCGTTGCCGGTCACGAAAAAAGACAAAAAGGAAAAAAAAATGTCAATATTATAAAAGACAAAGGCAGAGCAACAGTTAAAAATTCAGGGAGAGAAAAGAGATGTAACAATTAAACACGATATGGATCCTAGATGGGATGATCTACTATAAGAAAAAAAAATATTATAAAGTATTATGAGGCCAGATGACAAAACTAGAATATGTTGGTAGATTAAAGTATCATATCAATGTTTGATTTCCTGAGACTGATAACTGCACTGTGGTTATATAAAATACTGTTCTTACTCTCAGGAAATACACATTGAGGTATTTAGAGGTAAAGGGCATGATGTGTACAACGTCCTCTCAAATGGCTTGGGAGGTGGAGGGGGTAAACATATAGATGGGGTATGAGAGCAAGCATGCTCACAAATGTCAAAGCAAATGGGACAAAATGTGAAGAATACCAATTCCATACCTATGGATGTACTCAAAAGAATTGAAAACAGATGTTCAAACAAATATTTGTACACAAATGTCCATAACAGCCCTATTCACAATGGCTGACAGGTAGAAAAAACTCAAATGTCCATCAACCAATGAATGGATAAACATAATTGGTATATCCATACAATGGAATATTATTCAACCTTAAAAAGGAATGGAGTACTAATATATGCTACAATGTGCTACAATATGGATGAACCTTGAAAACATTATGCTAAGTGAAATAACAGACACAAAAAGACCACATGTTGTGTGATTCCATTTATATGAAATGCACAGAGTCAGCAAATCCACAGGAACAAGAAGTAGATTAGTAGTTGCTAGTGACTAAGGGGAGGGGGAAATGGAGAATGAATACTAACAGGTATGGAGTTTTTTTGGGGGGAGTGAAGAAAATGTTCTAATATTAGATAGTGGTGATGGTTTGTACAAGTCTGTGACTACACTAAAAATCACTAAAGTATACACTTTAAAAGACTGAATTTATGGTATGTAAATTATATCTCAATAAAGCTGTTTAAACAACAATAACACTACTCAAGCACTGGGTCATTTTCCTACAGTTGGCCTTCCCTTCCTGGTTATATGCTAACCTCTGCAAAACAATCCATACCCCTGAAGTAAATGCCACTGTCTTATAGTGCTCTCTCATTTATACCCCACTAGGGGATGGTGGCCCACTACTCTGCACACACTTCATTAGCAGCCACAAAACATTTCCTGAAAACGTGAAGGTTTAAGCCATCTGGAATCCTAGAAGCATCCTCTAACATTTATCATAAAGCTTCTAATTAAAGTTTTCTCTTCTTACTTACTGCCTAGTAATTCATGCTTTACTTTCTTTTCCACAGTGGGAAACTATCTGGGGTGTCTTTTGATATGCTTTTAAATTAAAAATAGAAGAAAAGAACTTTAGAAAAAATTAAAGTTGAATTTACCAAATCATTCTCAGGGACCACTCATAAAATGCACTATTAACAGGGAGCGTGGGGACCTGAACAGACTGGTCCAGGCAG